TATATATTCTTGCCTACCAATGGCATTACTATTTTTTGGACTGGAGTATTAATTCCTTCACAATCTTTCATATACTGAGCATCAATCTTGGGATCTTGAGTTTGATGGCTTACACAATAATCACAAACATATAACCTGCCATTGTGTTTAGTTGTATATCCAGCTAATTTTCCTAATCCTTCTCTTCCTTGAATTAAACAATAATGTTGAAATGGTTCTCCTGTTTTAGGATTTTCTCTAGTAATTAATAAAAGCCTAATCAATTTACGTGGTTGACAATTTTCTTCTTTATGGTTATATCTATTATATACTTTGGATTTAGATGCAATTCTAATTGGAATAAGTTCCTTTTCACTCCATCCATAAATTGATACTGATATAGATAGATTCTGTTTCTCAAATTTCTCTATTGTATTATTGTCAGCTTTTACTGGAAATTGAATTCCTTTGAAATTTAACTTACCTAAATAGGATTTTGATTTTGAGGTCGCTCTCGATGATAAGAAGCTGGATATAAATCTTCTAAAATATATCATTCAAAGCATCGATTATCTTCATTCTTAATATTAATAATTCTATTATTTTTGTTTTGGTATTCCTTTAGGTAATGGAAGATGAGAAGTAGTAGTTAATGGAATGAAAATTGGCATTTCAATATTTACTTCTTCTAATATTTCATAAACCTAGCCTGAGCCTTTAACAATATAAGTTTCTATTCGATTTTCTATATTCCAAATAAGTTCGTCTACAATTTTTGGAATATCTTCTTTAGCAGTTACTACCACTGCTTTATTTTTGAATAGAACTTCTTTATAATCTATTTCTCCATTATCTTCTTCTATTTTATTATCAAATAATCCCTGCTGATAATTTGCTGATTGACCCATTTTTGCTATAAGACATAATTGAGTTTTGAAGCCATGAGTGAGATCAAATCAATCATTAAAAATATTTATTATTTGTTCCCTAAGCACCCCAAGAGTATTAATAGGGTCTTGTGCATATATACTTTCTTTTCCTATCTCAACTTGATAATGATCATCTAATAATTTACATCTGAAGCTAATAATATTAGTTTGATGAAATTGCGGAATAGGTTCTAATATTTCTAATGCTTCAAGATATTCTCTTTCAGCTTCTGGTGATAAAATAGTCTTAGCAATTTTTGGAGAATCAAATAATCCCAATGCTTTGAGAAATTCTATTTCTGGATTAGCTAGTGGAGTTGGATTCTGATTTGGTAAATCTTGGGGATAACATAGATTTTTATTACTATTATAATGTTGACAAAGTTTTTGTGGTGTTGAATATATATACCTACAGCTTTCACATGTTCGATTTTGTTTACGAGTCATATTGGTTTTATAATATAGTTATAGAAAATTTTTATTTAAAATTATTATATATATATATATTAGTTTTATTATATACTTATAGAAAATTGTTTAAATTGAATTTTTACCTTATATAAAAATGAGTACTATATATACTTGCTTTTTTGTTGATTATTCTGGTGAAATTTGTATGTGTCATAGTACTCACCCTGAGGGTTGCTATTTTCATTATAAAACTTTATCTCATAATCCCTGCTCTGAATGTGGTAAACCTACTCGTTCTATTTCTAGTCGTTGTCCTAAACATATTAGAGGGTTTTATGTTTCTAGATATTTTCAGAAACATCTTAAGAAAAATCATATAAAAATTGGTTAAGAGTTTTGTCACAACTTTTTGATTAAAGTTTGTCACAACTTTTTGGTTAGAGTTTGTCCCAACTTTTTGGTTAGAGTTTGTTTCAACTTTTAGTTAGAGTTTTGTCTAACTTTTTTACGATTTTTGCCAAAAAGCAGAATACTTAGTATGACGACGAACTCATAAACCAATCATCACTCAAATGACGACAGTTAGGGTTTTTATTACTATAAAAGAAAAGCTTCGAGTAATGATTGAAAAGCAGAATTCTAAGTATGATGATGAACTTGTAAACCAATTGTCACTCAAATAACGACAGTTAGGTTTTCTGTAAGTATAAAAGAAAGGCTTCAAGTGAGGATTAAAAAGCAAAATTCTAAGTGTGCCGACGGTTAGGTTTTCTGTTAGTATAAAAGAAAGACTTCAAGTGATGATTGAAAAGCAGAATTCTAAGTGTGATAACAAACTTGCAAACCAATCGTTACTTAAATGACGACAATTAGATTTTCTGTCAGTATAAAAGAAAGGCTTCGAGAGAGGATTGAAAAGCAGAATTCTAAGTATGACAACGAACTCGTAAACCAATCATCACTCAAATGACAACGGTTAGGGTTTCTGTCTCAATTTTCTCATATTTATACTACTAAAGCATAAAAAAACAAAAAAGTAACCTCACTGCAATACCTGCTCAATCAATTATTCAAAATAAAACTTCACAGCAGATATCATTATCTGAGCTTCCAAAACGGATATATCATGTTACTACACAAAAAGAAAGAAATATACTTTCTTAGTTGTTTGTATGTGAAGAGCAATTAACTGAAGCTAAAATTGCGAATGTCTTGCTAAAACTTGAAAAAGTCTTTTCAAATTGGGATGATAAAAAAGTTAGATATTACTATAATAATAATAAACATAAAATGCTTAAATAAAGCGATGTTAGTATCTATTTATAAATAAAAAAGCATAATTAAAGTATAATTTTACTAAAATCCTAATGTTCAACCAGAAGTTCAACAAACTTTTACATTGATCTAAAATTCATTTGTCTTCATAGAATCTAGAAATAAAGATTTAAAAGTGAAATTTTTTATTAGCTTTAAACCCTTTGTTTGTTGTTTTTAATAAAGAATTTTCTTTTAACCTTAATAAAAAACCATAAAACAAAAATTAAAAATAAAAAAAGCTATGATTGACTTTATATTAATTCTGGATCTACTTTATAAAAAAGCATCTTCTAGTAATCATCCAGATACTATAAGTAAAGTGTCTTTGCTTCAATAATTAAACTTGTAACACTTCTTATTTGCGCCTATAATAAAAAAAAATTAGACCCGTATAAGCAGTATTTAGATGAAAATTTTAAACTTTGAAGTAAAAAAATTGTCATTTTCTTGACTGATTTTATTTTATATAAGTTAAAAATAAAGGTATATTTTTTTTATATAGAAAGAAAGCATAGAACTCAAAGAGTAAGCCTATTTAAAATCTAAATATTAATTAGAACTTTGTCGTTAAATTATTCTTTAAAGAAAGTCATG